TGTCTCTCTACCTCGCCATTTGCTTGAGCTCATCGAGCTGTTACACTTCGATGCTTTATACCATTCTCCTTCAGGAACGCTTCGAATTTCTGTGAGACAAGGTTTGGCCCATTGTCACTTACAAGCAGTTCAGGCAGTCCATGTCTGGCAAATATGGTTTCTAAACACTCTATGGTCTTCTCTGATGTAACTGTCCTTGCAACAGCCACTTCGTAATATCTGCTATAGTAGTCAACAACTACTAGTATGTGTTCACCTGTGGGTAACGGTTTCAGGTAATCAATTGCGACAGAACGCCAGGGCCCTGGAGGTAGTTCTGTAGTTGCCGCAAGCTCTGGAGGGTCAGGTCTGCCCACTAACTGACGTGCATCACAGGTCTTGACGAACCTTTCAACATCCTTTTCTAGCTTTGGCCACCATACTTTTGTGCGACTGCGTCGTTTCATGCTGACTACACCTAAATGTCCTTCATGTCCAATGGTCAATACTGTTGTTCTAAGAGCTTTGGGATCACTATGCGGGTTCCTCTCATAACTATACCACTCACTACACACAGTTCATTGGCTACATGTAGGTATTCCGAACATTCAGTTCCTTCCAACCTCCCAGTTTGGATGGCTTGCGTTAAACACTCCATCCCTTTGTCATTCGATGCCACTTCTTCAATTTCTTTTGCACTCATTGGTTTTTGGAACGGCTTTCACAGTTATAAAATGCACACAATTCTCAGTGTCGTCAAAGCTCTTTCCCTCATCTGTGTGTGGCCATCTTGACAGGGTGTCAGCGATGTTCTCTTTACCAGGTGTATAGACAACATGAAAGTGATGTGGTTGCAATTGAAGAACCCATCTCTTGGCACGTGCACTAGGCTTTGATTTAGGTGAATAGATGATTTCCAAGGGCTTGTGGTCAGTGACAAGTTCAAACTCCCTACCCAAGAGGTAGACATGAAACCTTTCAACAGACCAGACTAAGGCCAATGCCTCTTTTTCGGTTTGCGAGTATCTTCGTTCAATGCGAGACAGGGTTTTGTTTGCATAGCAAACAGTCCTCCAGACTTCGTCATGTTCCTGCAACAACACTGCACCAAGGCCTACTGGGCTGCCATCAGCAACAACTCTAGTTTTCAAAACAGGGTTGAAGTATGCCAGTGTATCCACATCTGTCAGGCTATTCTTCAATTCTTCAAAAGCTTTCTTTTGATCCTTTCCCCGCACAAAGAGTGTATTCTTCTGTGTGAGTCTTCTCAGTGGCTCTGCTTTTGTTGCCAGGCCACTGATAAATCGGGCGCTGAAATTCACCAAGCCTAAAAAACTCCTCACTTCTGAGCTGTTTGTTGGTTCCTTGCCTCTTGGAGTGCTTTTACTCGGGACTCTGTAGGGCCTATGCCTTTTGCCGACAGCAAATGTCCCATGAATTCAATCTTATTCATCCTGAAAACACTTCTTGTTGAGTGTCAAATCTCTCTCTTTCAATTCGTGTAGAACCCTTTTCAGCCGTTCGTCATGTTCAGCTACATCCTTGCCGTACACCACAATATCATGAGATATGTTTTGACATCCAGTACATCCGGCGCTAGGAAGAACTTGGTCAATTACATGTTGATACAATTCTGGCATGGAGCAAATGCCGAACATTAGACGCCTATATCTAAAAAGGCCTGCATGAGTGGTGAGGGTTATGGCTTCTCTTGAGATACCTTCTTTCAGTTCCAGTTCATGGAATCCTATGGTAAGATTGAGTTTAGTAGACACAGCGTTGCCACTGAGTTCGCTCAGTACGTCATCGATTGTTGGTATTGGGTGTCTTGAACGCTCTATAGCTTTATTGGCCATTCTCATATCCACACATTCTAACGTCCCTGTTTTGTTTCAGAACGACGACATTCGGGCTTACACACGGCGTTGAACCTTCCACTCTTTCAATGATGTCCATCTCCTCCAATTCTGTCAGCTTTTNTGACAAACGTTTGCCTCCGAGCTCCACCTCTGACCAGAACTTTGCTTCAACTTGGACTTTGCTCGCTGTAGCATAAGACTGTATGGATCTGTTTTCCGAGTGGCTTCTACAATTGATTCCATTCGATTGGAATTGCTCCCATAGTTGATTGTCAAGTACATCGCAAGAAGCACCAGAGTCTATCAACATGTCAACTTGACCTCCAACGGTAAGCTTCACTTCTGGTTCGTCTTCAGGGGAGAGCTCAATTGCAAAGATTTCGTCATCCAGGCTTTCATTATCTTCCACACAGAAGACTTTTGTTTGGTAGTTGTTCTTGCTCCTGCAAACATTTGCAAAGTGTCCGATGTGACCACACTTCCTACACCTCTCTTTCTTTGCTGGACAACATTCATCTTTAGATATATGTCCCTCGTTTCCGCATCTTCAACATTTTCTTTCTTTTTCCTTTTTGGTGGGTTGCCTGTGGGGAGCTGTGTCACGTGATCGGCCGGCCATCTTTGAATTACGAGGAAAACATTTCTCATCTATTTTGTTGACATTATCGGCTTGCATTTCACTTGCTAGTTGAGTAACTGCTTCAAAACGACTAGCCCTTTGCAGGGCAACAGCTAAAGACAACTCCTTACCTCTTTTCAAACGCCTTAGTTGCAGTCTCGACGATAAACAACCTTCAATGAGTTAATCTCTCACTTGTATATTCCTAGTATCGCCGAAACCACAGATATCAGCTTGTCTCCTCAATCAGGACACAAAATGTGCGGTCGATTCAGATGATTGTTGACGCATTGACCAAAATTTATGCCGTTCAAAGGGCTGGTTTACGTTTCCTGCGAAGTAGCGATCCAGCTTTGCAGCTTTGCAATCGCAATATCATAAACAGTTGGATCATCCGGTAATTGATTTCCTGGTGGTTCTGGAAGAGTTTCGTAGACCTTTTGAAGTTTCCTTCCAGTTGTACGGCCATTTGCTCCAATTCTCGTCAATGATTGCAAGCTCATTCTTATTTACTTCCAGCTTGTCAAATGTGAACTTCACAGCAGCGTTAAGTTTGTTTAGGCTTTGCTATGTTTGTAATGATTCAATGTTAAATAACAGCACCTTGTAGAATTCATGATTTTACTTCACATCCCTCTCTCTGATGGTAGGCAACTCTAATATGTTCTGAACATGGGTTCCCACAACTTCGCTGGTTTTCCCATATCATCTTGTAAAGAGGATCTAGGGGCCCTATGATACCTGTCTGCCATGAAAGGAAATCCATCGATGAGATTTCGGACCTTTGCAAGTAATGACTTTCAAGTACAAGAATTTTGTGACATCAGGGAGAGATGACTTGTTGATTTGAGTCTCTACCTGACCCCAGAAACGCAGCCAGCCTTAAGGCGTTCCATCAAATTTAGTCATCACAAGCTTTGGCATTTTCACAGCCTCACTAGTCGCTCTTGTGGTTTCAGTTGACTTTTGAACTTGTTGTAATTTGAGCTTTTTCTTCTCAACTGAATGCCAATTCTTCAGCGTGAGCTTGTTCTACAGCTTCTGGTTGTTGCTGTATCTTCTCTCTCCAATGTGATGGCTTGCTTCTGCTCGAAAAGAGCGCCTTCATGCCTCAGATGCTGATCAATTTTTTCTTTTTTATCAGCCAACTGACACATACATGCATCCACTTCTTGAACTGCTGCTTCGAAATCTGCTGCCCATTCTCTCATTTTTCCTTTTTGTCGCCTTCTGTGAACCTTTTTTTCTCTACTGATTCCTTTAGGGTAGTCACTGTGGTCGCCATACTCTCGAGCGAGGTTTTGTCTCTCCAAAGCCACACGGTCATCTTTTTGGCAGATATCGTCTGTCTTCTTCACTCTAAAATGCAATGTTTTGATCTTACCGTCTAAGTCCGCTAGTTGTTTGTAATCGCTCAACTAAAAACTCGTCCCATCGTGGTTGCCAGTTTGTCGAAAACACACCAACAAGACATTTCCTTTTAATATCACCGTTTACTTTTCTCCAGAATTACAAGTCCACATGAATACAGGATAGAAAACCTCACTCACTCTACTCAACGGCGTGCTTAGCACAACAATGAAGGTAACAGGATATCTCTTAGTGACACACCCACTAAGTACAAAGTACATGTCTCGATCCGATTTGAATTATTTCCAGTCATTTGTGAAACTAATGTAACACGACAAAAAAACACGGCATGTCTACAGTTCCCGACACTTAGTCTCCATTCCTGCTCTAGTGTCAACTCCACAATCTCCACATCTTGTTCTTTGATCTTGTCAGACAGTCTGACCACCCTTTCTGCCCAGAAGGGTGACTATTGAGTAGTAGAGGGAATTATATCCCTGTTGCTCTGCAAGTTTACATTTGCATTAATCACAAATTTTACTTCTCCTTTTTTCTCCAGCGTGGCCTGGAGTTATTTAGTGCCATAATGGGAGGGTTTTATTAAAGAAAATGCCATCTGGGGGTCTTCTACTGCAAAACCCCCATGTAGATAAAGCACCTAGCTGCATGGCTGCTTTTTTTTGTTGCTTCATCTGCACTGAGTGGAATACAATGCAGGAAGTAATTGGGTAAGTAACAAGTCTGATTACCCCTGAATTCTACAATACACTTTGTTTGGCTGCTCCTCGTTTGTCTGCGATTTGGTAGCTGGCACGCATCACTGCTGACAGGCAAAATAGTGTCATAAATATTGTGGTAATGTAATTTCGGATATTACAGATCACTTAACTCAATTTTGTATTGTGCGTTCTCTTGCAGTCTCTTGTAATAACATGAAGTGCTTTATTTGTGATTACTCGCACTTTTCAGAGGAAAATTTCTTACACGACCTTTCACAGATTGATTGGCAGACTTTAATTTTTGAGAGAGAAGCTAATGTTGATAAGTTATTCTCTCTCCTCTATACCAGGCTAAAGAAAGTTGTAAATAAACATACCCCTTTCAAACCTATTTCCAAATGTAAAATGAAAGCTATGTCAAAACCATGGATTACTAAAGGCGTACGTAAATCTGTTAAAGTTAAAAATAAACCTTTCAATCAGGGAAACAAAGTTGCGTATAAGTAGCCCATTTCCGAGTTGCTGAGCGTCCTGGAAACTGTTTCCGAATTTCTGCATGGGATTAGGGCTAGGTGCTTACATAGCGGCGTGAAAATATAAATATCAGCAAGTTTTATAAAAGAAATTTAGACTGACTAAATATGGTTTACTGCTCCATAGCTTTGTGTCGGAACGGTAATCGGAAGCGGGCAGACTGGTCTTTCTTTCGATTTCCTACGGACAAACGACTTTTTATTTGGTTGAAGTTCTGTAGTGGAGCTGATAGTAAGTTCAAAGAGGAGCAAAGGAAAGCAATAGCTGGCGAGGAAAACAACCTAAGGATCTCTAAGGAGCACTTTACTGATGATTGTTATTGGAAAAAACTGAATGGTAGACATACCCTCAATGATTATGCCATACCAGCATTTTGAATCTTCAACAAACCTGAAACATCGAGAAAAGAATACTACGAAAAACGTGCACAAAAGCGACCTTTACCGAGAGAGTCCCATGTCAAAACAATGAAAGAGGCGAAAGTTCAGAGTGCAGCAAACAAAAGCACAGCTGATATTGGTATCATACACAACGATCATACCTATTGGGGTTTTCAACTGTTTTGTAAAGTAGCGGACATACTTCTGAAAGCAGTGGATGTGAATGTTTTCTTGGCGCCGTAAGGCGCCTCACAAGCGCCAAAGGCGTAAGCACCTAGGGGGGTCTGGGGGCATGCTCCACATTACCTCTTTTCAAAAGCCTTAGTTGCAGTCTCGACGATAAACAACCTTCGATGAGTTAATCT